ACTCCCACATGGCTGACCATGGTTCAAGTCCTGGACCTGGTGGCTTGCTTTCTCACTTTCTCTCTCTCTCTCTCTGTGTGTGTGTGTGTCTGGTAAAAATGAAAATAAATGAATGAATAATTAAAATAAAATAATTATTTTTAAAAAAGTTTTTTTTTTTTAAAGTCCTAAAGTAATGGGGTCAGAAGGTGGTACAGTGGTGACACAACTTGTTTTCTTGATTTATTGTGTTGTCAAGTTACTTGATAGCTTCTTAGAAAAGACGAGGTAGGCACCTTGATGGCTTAATGGTTACATCACTGGATTCCCTCATGACAACCGTAGTTTGAGTCTTGGACCCAGTAGCCTGAAACTCATGTCAGGCACATGTGTGTGTGTGCATGCCCAAGATCCTGGGAGAAGAATGAAAGAGGAAGGATTGTGGCATGGCCATCCCTCTGGGGGCGTGATTTCTCACTTTCCATCTCACTGTCTTTGACTGTCTCTCTCTCTCTGGTGACTGTATGCACCTTAAGGCAAAAACCTCTAAAAAGAAGAAAAGGGGAGGTGAAGATTTCTTTTTTTTTTTTTAAAGGAAAGTTATTCATTCATTCATTCATTCATTCATTCATTCATTTTTCAGGTCTGGCACTCAAACTGCTGTAGGCCATGTGGGAGTCCAACGCCCTTAACCATCATGCCACCTGCTGGCCCCAAGGTGAAGCTTTCTTATCCCTTCTCCCCTTTGCTCCTTTCACTGTAGTTGAATCACATCTTTCAGTTAAATCAATAGCTTATACCTTACAATAATCACATAAATTTTTTTCACTGATGAGGAAACAAATTCTGCCCCTCTCCTCACATACCTGGAGTTCATAACTGGCTTATATTTTCACATTTCATTTTCTACATACCTATCTCCACTTTTTCTTTCCTAGACAATCCATGTCATGTCAGACATCTGTTAATGTTTTTGTAAATGCTCAAATGCCTTTCATAATCTATTACTTTGATTTTTTAATTCTGGAAACCTCTTCACGACCATTCTTTTCCAGTCTGGACTGGTGATTCTCCAGGCCTGGCTCAAACTTGTTATCTTGGGGCTTCACTTTGCTTCTCTTCTGTGTTGGGTCCCTGTTTCCAGCATTCTGTGTCTTCCTTTTTAGTAAGACAAGTGCTCAAAAGGGGTATGTTTTGCTTTGGAATAAATGAAAATATCTATATAATAGCTTCCTATTTGATAATTTGGCTGGGTATAGAATTCTAGGTGGAAAATGCCTTCCTCTTAGAACGTAAACAATTTTTCTGCTATAGGGTGTGTGTGCTTGCCTCAGAAACACAAAGAAACAGAGAGAGAAAGAGAGAGAGGGAAAGGGAGAGAAAGAGAAAACACTCACCAGGGGGAATGGCCACATTGAAATTTTCTATAATTTCTTCTTGGGATTTTGGGCATGCATGTATATGAGCCTGGTGTGTTTTTTAAGCTGCCAGGTCTGGAACCTGAACTGTGCAGTTGGCCATGTGGGATCTAACTGCCTTATTCACCATATTACTGACTGACCTATGTTAGAAATTTTAAGTCATTTCTCACTAGCTTTTAGCATCCAGTGTTACTATTGAGAAATATAATGCCATTTATATGAAACCTGTTTGTTTTACTTTTACTGAAAGCTTACCAGATTCTGTATTCTGAAATCTGAAATTTTACAATAATTGTGTTAAGATGTTTCAACCTCAAGCCTGTGGCCTTTAATTCTAGAAATGTTAACTGTGATTTATTTAATAATTTCCTCTTCCTGCTTTCTCTGTTCTTTATGGAACTCCTGTTAGTTACATGTTGGACTCCTAGGCTGACTTTTTTTTCCCCCTGGACCTGGTGGCTTAAACTCATGCCGGACATGTGTTCGTGTGTGCCCAAGATCCCGAGAGGAGCATGGGGGAGAAGGGATTGTTGCAGGGCCATCCCCCCGAGGGGTGATTTCTATCTCTCTGTCTCTCTCTGTCTTTTTGGTGAGCACACATGCCCTATAGCAAAAACCTCCCCCCCCAAAAAAAAATTTCTAGTCTTTTCTATTTTACTTTCCATTTAGATCTTTTTCCCATTCTGATAAATTTTATTGACATTATTTTACAACATGATTATTATTTTTTATTTTTAGTTATCAATGTTGTATTATTCTTTTTAATTGCCAAAGGGTGCATGTAGTCAACAGAAAGAGACACAGAGGTAGAAAGTAGCCCCCAGTTGAGTGTGGTCATGCTGCAATCCCTTCTCTTCCGTTTCTCTATCTTGTTGGGATTTTAGGCACATATGCACACATGTTCAGTGTGTTTGCAAGCTGCCAGGGTCAGTATTCAAACTGCAGTCATTCATGGGGGATTCAGCTCCCTTAACTACTGGCTATCAAAGTTTGAGTTTATATTAGTTCTTTCTGGTTCTCTGGGTCCTCTTTTTTCAAGTATACTCTTCTTGTTTTATGAACACAACCTCTTCTAATAATCACTTTCATTATCATTATTATTATTATTGTTATTTTGCTGTCTGCTTTGATACTTTTTCCTGAGTTTTTGTTTGAGTATTTTTGGGGTCTTTTTCTTATTAGAGTATATCTAGTGATCCTTGGATGCCCATTCATATTTAAGCTTAAGGGGCTTGTAGACTAAGGGCCTTTATAATAAGGTTATTAAATAGTGGTCCCTGTCTGAAGAGGTTTTTTTTTTTTTTTTTTTCCTATAGGGTGCATGTAGGTGCTGGAGAGACAAATGGAGAGACAGAAAGTGAGAAATCACCCCCTATGGGGGATGGCCATGCTGCAATCCCTTCTCCTCCACTCTCATCTTGGGATTTGGTGCACACACACACACACACACATGCATGGTGTGAGTTTTAAGCCATGGGGTCTGGAATTCAAACTGCAGTCAACTCTGTGAGAGTCCAGTGACGTAACCATTACGCCATCTGCTGGTCCTGTCTAAAGGGTTTTCTATGATTGCTTGGAGCATCCAGACAGCCCTTCTCTTTCCTAAGAGAATGCTGATGTGCGTTGTTCTCTGGGAGCTGAGTGAGGAAAGGGAGCTGACAGTTCCATAATTTGGAATGTACACTTGCACCTTAATCCCCATTTTCAGCCCCAAGATTAACCAAATTCTCCACCCTGTGTGGATTTCTTGAGTCTGACAACTGTCTGGTTCAATTTTTCCAGAGTTAAGCCTCTGTGGTCCAATGAGGGTGCTCAGGGTGTTGGACACATGGATGTGCAAGGTTGGAGAGAAGCCCAGAGGTCTGGCTTGTTTTCAGCCTGTACCTCCCCTCTTTCCACTACCTGGTACTTCCCAAAAGTATGGTTCCACTTAGGGGTTTTGCTGCACAAAGTGGCTTGCCTCTCAGGAGTGCTTCTCATTGCAGGCCCTCGTTAAGGTGCCCCCACCCTGGCAAGTCAGTTATCATTGTAGCTCCTCTCGCATTCTCACTGACCTTGTGGATTAACATCCTTGTAATTTCCTTACTGCTGTACCATGAGGACTCAGGAAGGAAATGAGATGAATACCAACCGGTATGATCAGTATTCATTTCATGTTACAGGCTGAACCTCCTCGGAACAGGCTGGACCTCCGCGGAAGAGCAACTGGAGACAGAAGCATGAATCTTTCATCCGTACCCTCCGTCAGGCCAGAGAGGTCCAGCAGGTAATTGCTAAAGGTGGAAACCCCTCAGACTTGCCTCCCATCGAGCCTGCAGAAAACCCAGACTACCTCCAGTGTCCTCACTGTAGCCGCCACTTTGCTCCCAAGGTGGCTGAGCGACACATTCCCAAGTGTAAGACCATCAAGAACCGCCCTCCACCACCAAGGAAGCATTATGGTTGAGCAGATGACAACAGTGCAAACATCCTCCGATTTTTCAGAGGTTCTGCTTCTCTTTAGCAGTAAATGGGAGAATAATCTGATGCAAAGCAGAAAAACGTCTATCCCCCAGATATGCCTGCAGTTAAAATCCGTGAGGAGAGAGCCATTGCTAAGCAGCACAAGGCAGAAGGAAGCCCCAGCCCCGCACTAAATTATAACCTCGGGTTGGCATACCTTGTTCTTGCTCTAAGAACTGGGGGAAGATGCTGAAGGGTACTGAGCAGGCTGCATTAAAGCTCTCTTCTCATAAGCCTGTGGTGTGTGCTGGTGAAATGCCTGTGCCTTCTGGCCACTGCGTGGATCTCCTTGGTTCCTGTGCAGGCTTCCTGCTCTAGCAAGAACTTGGAGTAGGGGGAACCAGCAGTTAGCGTAATGGCTATGTCGCTGGACTCCCACGTAGTCGACCGCGGTTTGCGTCCCGGCCCCGGTGGCTTAAAACTCACGCCGAGCGCGTGTGCGTGCGTGCCCAAGATCCCGAGAGGAGAATGGAGGAGAAGGGATTGCGGCGTGGCCATCCCCCCTGGGGGGTGATTTCTCGCTTTCTGTCTCTATGTCTCTCTCTGTCTGGCGAGCGCACACGCCCTCTAGCGAAAACCTCAAAAAAAAAAAAAAAAAGCCAATAAAAGTATATAAGGTTAAGGCACCCATGCCTCTGAGACCTTCCCTACGGTGTACTTGTAATAAGGGAAACATCTTTACGAACTTTACAGGATAGGGATGGGGAAACCACATTACACCTCTATTAGTTCTTTTCTAATGGGTTTCATATGTCCAAGAAAAGGGAATCAATCTTGGTTCCAGCCGTTGGAAGCACTCTCCTTTCAAATCAGGCTGGCTGGATGACTTTTTAAATGAGCAGGCAACATCTAACATCAAAGCAAGCTGCAACACTGCAGTGTCATATCCCTGCCGACTGTAACACAAGTTCTATTTTAGAGTAAACTTTGAAGGGAGAAAGACCAGATCTTCTAAATTTCCTGAGTATAATACTGCCTAGTATAAGTCTTCAGTTAATGGGTTTTGGGGGCTTAAACAAAAAGATCCATGAGTCCTAGACTTCTGACGTGGAGGAACTGGTAAGCTAATGTTAAGTCTGAGGGCTAATATCAGTTCAGATAGGAGTGAAGCTAGCACTACAGATCTGAAATATTATCTATAGGATTACCATCCTTAGCGCATGGCTCAAATTGTTACTTTAAAATGCCAGAGAGACAGGACAGCCCGTGGCCTGGTGGTTCAGTGCATATGGCTGACTGCACAGTTCAAATCTCAGACTCGTGGCTTGAAAAACACACCAGTGTGTGTACATGTGTGCTCAAAATCTTGAAAGGAGGGATAGAGAAGGAACTGCAGCATAACCATTCCACATAGGGGGTGTTTTCTCACTTTCCCTCTCTATTTCTGTCTGCAGGGTGCACATGTGCCCTGTAGGAAATTAAAACAAACAAACAAATAAAATACACACACAACAACAACAACAAAAAAACAGAGGAAAAACTGTCCAACTTCAGCTGGACAAAGGGGACTGGGCAGAGAACAAAAGCCATCTTCTTTTTTTTTTTTTGAAGAGGTTTTTGCTATAGGGCCAGTGTGCTCGCCAGACGGACAGAGAGAGACAGAGAGACAGAAAGCGGGAAATCACCCCCCCATGGGGGATGGCCACGCCACAATCCCTTCTCCTCCGTTCTCCTCTTGGGATCTGGGGCACGCATGCACACGCGCCCAGCGTGAGTTTAAGCCACCGGGTCCAGGACGCGAACCGCAGTCAACTATGTGGGAGTCCAGCGACATAGCCATTATGCTAACTGCTGGTCCCCAAAAGCCATCTTCTACAAATAACAAATGGCCCCTCACTTTTGTTTTGCTTCTTCTGCAGCTTCTGCTATGGTTGGGCTAATAGATCAGATCAATTTGAAATGTGAGCTTAGAATTTTAGCAGTGAAGCTGCAGGTTACTAGGCTGAAATAAATACACCTGCTGCTCTTCAAGTGTATATATGTTTTGTACACAACATTTATATATATTTTATATACACTTGAGAAGCACCATATATTGAGTTGCTTTGTGTTCTTAATCATTCCAAAGAAAAAGAAATACGACATAAAATAAGGTTTTGGGTTAGCCCCTTAAAGAAACCTCACATGATGACAAGGATATTTAATTCAGTAAGGACATTCCCAGGCAGGTTTAATGAGGTACATACTATAAGTTTCACAAGTAACATTATAAGCAATAGATGGCAAGAGTAAGCTGTGGCCACGGTTGCAAAGTGGCAGCCTGTGGACTGCTTCGCCCCACGGATGTGTTTCCTTTCACTGGCACAGCATTCTAAATATGATCCGACATTTGAAAATTGGGATGTGGAGCATTGCTTGAAAAACGGGAAGTTCTGTAAACACTGGGCCGGCAGCCTACCTAGCAAAAACTGGGCGGAGTTCAGAATCAGCAGCTGCTTCAGATGGGGACAGCACCCCCACCTGGCCTGCCTCACCTATTCACCTTATCTGGTTGGCTCCTCGGTGCTCATGCTTGGGGTCCCCAGATGATGTTATTAAGATCACAGATCAGGGCCCTCTAGAGAAAACAAGCGTGTGGGGCTGGGGGTGGGGGAGTGTGCTTTCTATGGACACAAGGAAGTGGTTATTCATTCCTATGTTGCTGAGGAACTAAACAAGTCAGCGCCTGGCTGTTCCCTTTGCTCTCTGGGCCTGAATTCTATTTGAAATATCTATTAGTCTTTGATCTGGTTTTGTGGAAGTAATTAAGAATTTTTTTTTAAAATTTAAATCTAAGTCTCTTCTTGGACAGCCCAGAGGATGAGTGGAAGAATACATTCCATTCGTTACTATCCATTTTTCATATTGCTTTATCTAGGACACTTTAGTACATGTACATGTTACAATTTTAAAGTTCATGGGCCAGCTGGTGGCCTGATGGTGGAGGCAGCTGGAGCTCACATGGCCAACTGTGTGATTTGAGTTTCAGACCCAGTGGTTTGAAATACATGTGGGGCAGGTATGCGCGCATGCGAAAAATCTGGAGAAAATGGAGAAGGGATTGTGGTGTGGCCATCCATGCTGGGGATGCTTTCTCACTTTCCCTCTCTCTCTCTCTGTGTCTGTCTCTCTTTGGCAAGTGCACATGTTCTAAAGCAAAATTTAAAAAAAGAATAAAGTTTAAAAGGCTATGGCATGGAAGAAATCTCATGGTGAAACATACATAGGAGCTCATTTCATTTTAAAGTGTATGCAGAGGGCTGAGATAAAATTTATCAAGAGCAATGCATTCAACACACCATGGTACCTTCTGGCCAACATCTGCTTTCAAATTATCAATGCTCACTCTACAACTTCACAGGAGGTAGCAGAGATGTGACATAGTGAAGTTTTCCTCCCCAATTTCCTGATTCTGTGAGGTTTAATGATCAGCACATTAATTCCCAGAGTCGATCATCGAAGCAGTAAATGACTTTTGGCTTTGCAAGAAGGAACATATTTTATAGTCACGACTACAGCCCACTCTGTCCTGATGCTGTCATGAGTAATCATGGCAGCCCCAGATCTGAATGAATTTATTTAAAATACGGCCTTGCTCCTGAGTTGCTCTTTCTAGAGGAATGTTCCCAAATGTGTGGCAAACTAAATGCATTGTGATTTTTAGGCTACTTTTGCTTTTAAACTTTAGTGACAGCTCAACCAACGGAAGCTATAACTTGGCTATGTTGCCCCAGGGAGACCGAACAGGGTTCAACCTCCTCGAGGGAAGTTTATAAACGTAAGCTGGCATTATCACTTGGCAAAGCTCCACTGTGGCTGCGGGGGCAAGTACAAGAAGGGGTCCTTCTTTTGATGGCTCATTTTTCTCTCCCACTGCACTTTCAGCCCTGCCCTTTTTTTTTTTTTTTTTTTTTTTTTTTTTTTTTTTTTTTACTGTGTTTGCTATAGGGTTTGTGCTCTTGCCAAAAAGACAGAGAGAGACAGAGAGACAGGAAGCAAGAAATCATCCCCCAGGGGGGATGGGGACACTTCAATTCCTTCTCCTCCATTCCATCCATGCTGGGGATGCTTTCTCACTTTCCCTCTCTCTCTCTCTGTGTCTGTCTCTCTTTGGCAAGTGCACATGTTCTAAAGCAAAATTTAAAAAAAGAATAAAGTTTAAAAGGCTATGGCATGGAAGAAATCTCATGGTGAAACATACATAGGAGCTCATTTCATTTTAAAGTGTATGCAGAGGGCTGAGATAAAATTTATCAAGAGCAATGCATTCAACACACCATGGTACCTTCTGGCCAACATCTGCTTTCAAATTATCAATGCTCACTCTACAACTTCACAGGAGGTAGCAGAGATGTGACATAGTGAAGTTTTCCTCCCCAATTTCCTGATTCTGTGAGGTTTAATGATCAGCACATTAATTCCCAGAGTCGATCATCGAAGCAGTAAATGACTTTTGGCTTTGCAAGAAGGAACATATTTTATAGTCACGACTACAGCCCACTCTGTCCTGATGCTGTCATGAGTAATCATGGCAGCCCCAGATCTGAATGAATTTATTTAAAATACGGCCTTGCTCCTGAGTTGCTCTTTCTAGAGGAATGTTCCCAAATGTGTGGCAAACTAAATGCATTGTGATTTTTAGGCTACTTTTGCTTTTAAACTTTAGTGACAGCTCAACCAACGGAAGCTATAACTTGGCTATGTTGCCCCAGGGAGACCGAACAGGGTTCAACCTCCTCGAGGGAAGTTTATAAACGTAAGCTGGCATTATCACTTGGCAAAGCTCCACTGTGGCTGCGGGGGCAAGTACAAGAAGGGGTCCTTCTTTTGATGGCTCATTTTTCTCTCCCACTGCACTTTCAGCCCTGGCCTTTTTTTTTTTTTTTTTTTTTTTTTTTTTTTTTGGAATAAAAGTTGTAGCAGCAGAAATTGCTGTGCTGGCAAGAATAAGAGATTGGAAAGAAGCAAAGATTATTTCTGTGTGAACGTCCCTTGTATTGTTCCTGTTCCAAGAACATTTATTTATTTATATAGAGACTCACTGAATCAAAGCTTTGCAAAGGCCTAGAACTGGAGTGTTTTATCTCCAGTGACTACAGTCCATGCACAGGCTTATTAAGGCACAGCACTGACTGGGAGTTTAAATGTTTATTTAAAACAGAAATGCCAAATCACTCCACCCTCAACCTTTCAAGCATCTGGCTAACAATAAGCTAGTTCTTCAGCAAAGAGTCAGAGCAGAGGAATAACTTGGGTTATACTATAATCAAAAGCAATACTACTAGAACACTTAAAAACACCTAGTGCTGCACAAAGAAGAAAAGTGAGACAAAATGTAGAGAATTAGCTACAGAAAACGATTCAAAGGCATTTCTGCTGCCTCACCTTTCACTGCAACGTGGGGCTGCTGCCTTTGAGCTGGTTTCTGCTTGCATAGTTGTTTGGTGGGAAAAGTCATATGGCTGTCCCAGGCACTATTTGGGAAAGTGCAAATTGTCTCGAAGGCACAGAACTTAAGATTCTCAGCCAGATTAATTGCAAATCTAGACTGCTTGAGGGAACATACTAGAAAAAATGACCACGGCATTGCCCTGCCAGGGAATGGCTCCCCTCTAATAAGAGCAGGGCTCCTCCCCCCACCCCCCCCAGTCTCAGCACTGTGCCCTCAGCTCCACTGTAGGAGCAATCCTCACAATGAACCCCTAAACAAACCTGCCTCTCGGGGCTGCTGAGATGGTGAGTGTGAGGACATAGGGACATGAACTGTTAGGGTTTACAGCAAACCCCAGGTGCCCAGACTTTGTAACCTTAAATCCAGGCTTGGCCCCTTCCTTATTACAAGAAAAGGCATCAGTGACTGCATCAGTACTGTTGGCCCAGGCTTCCCAGAACTAGATGACATGGAGCATCAAAGACGATCCTATTGAACAGAGTTGCCCATCCCCAAGCGTCAGCCTTCACACAGCCAGTTTTAAGGGAATGGCATCATTTCCATTGCTCAGGTCCTCCCACATGTCAGACAGACATTTTCCAGTGTAGGGA